TTAACATAGCTACCAACATCGGCTCAAAGACCCGCCTTGTGCCCTGAAGCGCAAGTGACCAACTTATTACCTTGCAATCTGCTTTTTGAACGAAATGAAGTTCGTGAAACGAATCATTAATATAACTCCCAAAACCAGTTCAAGAGCCATCCCTTGCCCCCAGACACAAACATTCACGGAACGTATCCTAATAAAAGAAACTTCTTCGCATTTAGTAAAACGTGTCTCAAAAAATGCGTACATACGTCAAAACGTCGAACAGCCGCTCACTTGCTTATTGGAGAACTGGTCTTGGAACAACGAACGCATTCCGAGGCAGGCTTTTTATTTTCCAATCGAATCTCATCTTCCTTTACTTTTCTTCGACCCGGCGCAAACGCATCCTCTCGACTTGTTTATCCGTTTCTCGCCGCGCGTTTCTCGTCTCGTTTCGCGAAAACCGGTACGGATTTACGAATGGCCGAACGAGGCTGGCGTGCAATTGCTAACCGTCGTGCCAGAGCACCGATGATCGTCCGCCACGAATAATAATCGGAAATCGACGGTAACCAAGCCAGACGATCGTGGTATATTCTGACACGGGGTCGTATCGTGTCGGTGGTGGGTATTACGACTGATTGTGAGCACAATGCTGGTAATATCTCGTGATTTAGTGGCGGGTGCGGCTAGATAGCCAACACCGACGTGTTCCATTACCCGCGAGCTTCGAGCCCTCCTTGCTCCGACACCTCTTTCTTTTCCATCTGCTCTTTCGTTTCCTCTTTCACGTTTCCTCCAGGAGGATACGGCATCGCGAGATACTCGTCATAAAACGAAACTGTCCAGCGACAGTGTCCCGTAAATATGCGATTCAACGCATCGTGGATTCATTGGGAATCGTGCACCCTGCCCTTTGCCATTGTCGACCTTGACGATCCGCCGATACATTCTCAAGCTTACGACTCGATGAAATTCCTCGCCGTGCGTGTTTTCCGTGGAATCTTCTTAAATAGACGAAGGATGATCGATTCTCGATAAAAGGCTGCTAGGAGAGATGGTCCGTGAAAATGGTAATTTTTTGGCTGATAAAGTTGCGTAAAAACGTGAGTTGTAAGGGCAGGCTGTTGCGTTAGATAGGATCTAGGTGTACGTAGTTTCTCTAGGACCTCGGATCTGAAGTCTTATCTTGAAAGAATCTGGATAATCCAATAACGTATATGCAATAAAAAAGTAATCATGTACTTATGGTACAGATGGGATTTTCTACTGGGATTTTTTTATTAACAATGGAAGTAAGATTTGAAAGTTTCTTATTAGATTTTCTTAGTTATTTTAATCTTTTTATCGTACTTTGAGAGGCAAAGAATCTCTTAATTCTCCCCTAATAGAGTTATTATATTTTATAATGTAATTTCTATATAAAGATACCTACTCTCAATAACTTTTCTTGTTATTATATTCGAGCTTGAATTTTAAGTATTGATTCACATGGTGAACATTTAATATTTCTGTTGAATTACATATCGTATCGTATATTTACAAATCTTTATGATTTTAATTCATTCACCTCTGAATTATTTTTACAATCTCGTCTTCCTTTTATCATCTTCCAATAGTATTATGTACATAATACATATGTATAAAATCGACAAATATATTAGTTCCAATAGAAGAGAAATATTTGATCTCTATTTACAGTAGAATTTCATTTATCTGAACCCATCAGGGAATAAACAATTCATACAACTGTAGTTCATATAATAGGAGTTAACCAATTGTGTCCCCTACCTGTGATTTCTCGTTCAAATAATATGAGTCGAGATGAATAATAGGAGTTCAGATGAATGGATTCAATGTATAGGAGTTTAGTTAATTCAGCACTAATTTGCTCATTCTAATAAATGAAGTCCCAGTAGGTTTCCGCAGGAAAACAAAATCTTCATTTTACAATATAAAACTACATTTACAAATCATCGAACAAATTGATTTTTACAAATTGAAAGAAAACTTAATTTTCTAAAAATCTCTTGATTTTATTCAGAATATTTAAGCAATGTTTGATTAATTTTTCTCATTTTTGTTTCTATTAATCTCGATACAATTGATCGATTTGACTTCTATTCTAAAACTTTCACTTTCTTAAATTACTGTATGTTTGTTGGTAATTTCTTCGCAGATAGAAACATTAAACAGATGGAAGCACGAAAATAAAATAAGGCAACTAAAATTCGCGAAGTTGTTGCCACAGATTTATCAGCGGATTCGCGATGTCTGCGAGTTTATCAAGATCCGACTACTCTCTCTTTCCTCGGTGTTTTTATCGTGTCGGCCAGGTGCTCTTGGGCCGTGCGTGGGTGTTGACGGAATTTTCGGTAGCACGTGCACGCGTGCAGTCTGCCGCGTGCACGCGGAGTAGCTACCGTATGCGACATAAATAACTTTCGATAAGCCCCGCAGGACAGGCTTTCGCTACCAATCTTGCTCGTGTTCTACAGAAACGCGCAGGTATTGGCGAAATATTTCGTCGATGCCGGACATCTGTCCACCTTCGTGTGAAAAACTGACTTTAGAAAATGCTACGTACATATGTGACAAGAAAAGTTAGATAATATAGAAATTGAGAAAATTAGATAAAGTTTTGTATGCAAGTAGAATAATTCATCCGTGAAATAAATTTATTGTTTGTCATTGTCATAATAAGCCAAAAAATCAGAAAAATATTCTTCTATATCATCTACTTAATAACAAGTAAAAAAGAAAAATTCATGGTTAAAGCTAATATTCCAATATACACTGCTTGTATTAATCGTATAAAAGTTGTTGTATCCATTCGTGGCCTGCTTCGAACGAGAATCGAGCAATCAAAGCGTTTTCATTCCAATTCCATGGCCACAACAGCGACTTTACTTTCGTGCTTCACGTTGCATCAACCCGTTGTTCCGCCTACGCGACAGAGTAATTTGCACGTACGCTGGCTGCTCGCCGATACGACCACTGAATACAAGCGATGCCCTATTTGCAAATGTCAAATTGTCCATACGCATTACCGCCCCGTCTACGCTACGTGCCGAAGTGTCTCCGCGAGGTAGCCAGCGCGCGAGCTTCTTTGCATGTAATTATCGGTCGAACATCGAATTCTCTGGCTGACTCGAACGAAAACGTCTCCTCTACGCGTAGTTACGTAACCATTGAAATGGAATCGCTCGCTTGGGTGGCAAAGGGAATACACGCTCTCGCATAATGTGTACAACGTTGCTACTTTGCTTGGTCATCGAAGCTTGTAAAGAGAATTGTTAGGCAATGGAATATTGGAATACACAGCGAATTTTTAGAAGTTGGACATCGAAATTCGATTAGGATTTGAGTAGCGATTTACGGAGAGAAAATGGATAGTCTTTTGAAGTAACTTTCTGAGGAATCATAGGAAGAAAGTTTGAAAATTAATAGAATTTCTTAAGTTTGTCAACGAAGTAAATCAATTTCCAAATTTTAACTCTTTATCGTAAATATTTTCCTTTACCTACGAGTAAAATTTTTTAATTAGAAAAAATAACTAGTGATGAAATCTGATATATTTATTATAACCTTAATTGTGAATTGTGGAGATGTAAAATAAGCGAAATTATTGTGCAAAAATATTTAAGATAATCGTATAACTGTGCCTGTATATGTCGCGATTGTGAACGTCAAATGATTGATTGAAATATCTATAAAAGAACCTTGTATTATATTACATGTAATTTTACTGTGTTATGCAGAAAATTTGTTTTAACCCAACTCGCATGTTTGTCTTGTTATCTCGAATCTTATATGGAATCTTAAGAAAAGCGAAGATTTATTATAAACTCGAGATAACAAAACATTAAGCGTATACCGCTTTCTAATAGGTTACTGTCCTATAACAATATCAAAGAAACTTTATCTGTCATTTGGTTTGAAATTATTTCATGATCAAACCATAAATAAAATTTAAATATCACTGTGAAAGGCACAGAATCAATTTACACGTCAAGGTATACCACCAACAATCTCTTCATGAGAATTTATTAACACTTGAGTCAAAAACGACAAGAGATCCGTGACAGGGTTAACAGAAGATTCAACGTTCACTCCTAACCAGCCATACCACGTTACAAGCTTCATTAATACCACGAACAAACACCCACATCCGGCTAGCGCTAAGAAATCTTGAACAAGACACGACGTTGACGTAGATAAGGAGAATACTACGTCGAAATCGTGTCGCTGCAGGGAAAGTCAATCTCTGGTTTATTCTTAATCGGGACAAGGGTTGTGCCTATTCATGTAGTTTCTAACACGTCGTTAATGATGACATATTAATGGCTCGTTAATGCCACAGCGTATCGATTTTCGTTTCGTATGGTTGTTTCGTAAATGTCAGTTATCGCGCGCATTCCAGCGCTTTCTTGTTTCTTAACGAGAGGCTCATTAACATAGCGAACGTATACGAAGAGGGATAACTCGTTTCACGATTTTAAACGTTGTAAACGTCACGTCCACGTACTGCTGATCGTGCATGTAGTTTGTTTTGATATTGGCCATCAGGAGTTTGATAATTTCGTCGAATAATGAGCTGAACCGGCTGACCAGGTAACGAGTGGTTCGTTAACGGTGAAATGTTAATCACTCATTACCTGATCCGCTGATCACTTGCTAAGCCTTTCGGTACATTGTACGCGTTGCTTTCTCTGCGTTGTTGATGCTAAATTGAACGTTTAGTCGTTTTGGTTGACATTTTATTGATAATGTCGTGCCACCGCGCGTTGTATCCTCTATGGTGTTAATTAAATTCGTCGTAGGTGGTTGAACATTTTCAAAAGTTTACAGAGAATTGAATTATTCTAAGAAATGTATCTTTTTGGGTTGAATATTCGAATTAGCGAAGTGGTCAAAATGTCCAATTCGTTATTTTCGATAGAAATTTGGAAAATTTTTAGCCTTGTATTTGTGAGAATTTGTGTGATCCATTATAAAATATAAACGAGTGTTTTTCTCTGTGCAATATATATTTTTCCATATTCTCTACATCTTCGTTTCTTTCGAACAAATTTTATACATGTTACGGTATTAAATAATGCGATTAAGATTGTTGTTTTGTCATACTTCACGTAACGCCATGTTTATATGATATCATGATTTAATTTGTAACATTACAATACATTCACGTTCGTGTTAAAATTCTTCACGATATGGGTTGCGGAGATGGATACGAGTATGCACAAACGGCTATATTTTTGTCCGGATATGTGTTTCGAATACCATAAGGTTTCTTTTTATTGTGTAACAAGGTTGAAATATGAAAATTCGAGGATTGCAATAGAGTTAAAATACAGCTTATTTTAATGTATAAATATGAGTTGAAAAAGAACATTTTCTAGCCTTATCGGCATACGCCTACGAGCTGGTTATGAAGAAAATACATACAGGCATTTCCATATTGCAATTTGTACATGGATGTCAATTGCATACGAAGTATGCAATGCTTGTAAAACAATTCGACATAAATTGAAAATCTTCTTATACTGAAATGTCAAATTTGCATTGAAAAGGAACAAATATAAGGAATATTCAACATTTTGCTTACAAGATATCATTATAAATCGTATGCTCGTTTGAAGTCAAAAAAGACATTAATTGTATAAGTGACACAGGAGCCGAGCTGTTCCACTTCGTTCAAGTTAAAACATCCATATTTAATTAGATGAGGTTGCTAAAAATTTGTACACAGGCAAAGTCCTTTGTTCGTAAAGATCTTTTTTTCAGCTCAAAAGTGTTTTGATAAGAATCGATGGTGTATACGTATTAGTCATTAGACACACGGTTGGTGACACCTATGATGGATACGTTAATTACGAACATGTATATTTTCTTCATTTCTGAGAAACTAAACACTAGCCACGCATTCTGATGCAAAAGATACAAAATTTTCAAGAGATACCGCTCTGTTTGTTTTTCAAATAGCTCATAAGTATCAATAAATATCGCAAACAAAGGCTATATGCAATTTATTCTTAGCAATAATAATCTTCTTGTAATAAACTATCAAAATGATTAACGTACGTATACTAGCAAACACGACCTAATAAAGAACAAATTAAGAACCACACAATTCCGTGATAAATTCATTCCCATAGAAACCCGTACGAAAGACAGAATGTCCACTCGACACTGGCCCGACATGCGCTAATTGACCATATTATGGAAAACAGCCGCGGGTCAAGTAGCCGCGTGACCCCTGATGTCATCGCCGCGAGTTGCACCGAGACCGACACACGCGAGGTTCAGGAAAGTAGTCTTTGTTGAGGCCTGCTCAACTCTCGAACCCTTGCATCACGTTTGTTTACACGAAGAAAAGCTTAGCCAACCGCGCGAGAAGTGACGCATAGACGATCATAAAGTTGAATTTAACAGGCCATGAATGCAGGAGGTCTAGCGAGAGTAGATGCTAGGCGACGCGTGTGTTGTCAATTGTGGCGCGAGAAAAACCTATTCAACGTACCACACGTAGCTACTGGAAAAGTTTCTACGAGCGATAGATCAAGTCAGGCAGCGGCTCGGTTTCACCGTGACAATTTATTCGATGGTTTCGTGGAAACGCTAACGATTCACGATCGCAGCGCGAGATTCGTATCTCGTGGAACAGGTATGCGAAACGAGTGAAAGAAACGGAGCATTACGCGATGGTTCTTGAATTTCCCACTCGAGGCAAGACCCTGGGGTTGCAGAAACGAGAGTGGCGCCGGGGCGCCGATGCCTCTGTGTAGATCATACAGAGGTTCGAGCTAGGCCAGCAATTTATCATCGTTGACGCGCGCTGGACGGACTCGTCGGGCCCGTTCAAGACTGGCTTTTGATGTCGACAGACAGTCGCGACGCTGCCGAACTGCTCGTGCCTCTAGATGGCTGCTCGTACAAGCAACCGTTCTGATAAGAATGTTTGCAGAAAAGCTGACCGACTATCGTCGCTCGTGATTTATTACGATTACGCCCAGCTAGTTGTGCACGAGCCAGCCTACCATATAGCTTAGGTCAGAAGTTGCTATCTTCTCTTTGTTGACGAACTATTCGACCATCAACGTCGTGAAGTCTTCGACGTCATGCGATGTAACATTGACGCGAGAAGCTTGAAACTCTGCCTCAACGGGTCTTACGATCCTCTTGAGTCCTCTCTCACTTTTCTCTGTTCTTCTCTAACTACTTTTCTCAATATGTTTCTCTCGGTTAGTCGTCATCGTCTTCTTGCTGGTAGGGGGCTGTGTGTAGCGGGCAGCGTCGAGCATCATTCATCACTCGACACTTTTTGGTATAGCTGACAAGTTCTCAGAATATTGGCGCAATTATATTAAACATAAATCAGTTATAACAAGCCTACGTGGCTGCAATGAGCAGCGTACTATTGATGTGCACTGAGACTTACTTCAACGTTATATCGTTGTATCTTCTTCTGATTGCTTTTTGAGATTCGTTTATTTCTACTTGGTCGTTTCAGTGTCGTCTTCATTTTTTCCGAATATGTGTCGCCAGTTTCTGGAGTGTTTGTAGATATGCTTTATGCGAGTTGATAGACCTAAGTATGAGTACGTAGATTGCTGCGTGAAAAGACCTTGGTAATGGCGCATTGCATGCTACGATTAATAAGTGCGACAGGTGTAAGTAAATACTTACATGTTGTATAAAACATGTTCAGAGTATGAATATGCGTTTTTCAGTTATTTAGAGATTTAGGAATTGATACTATTTGTGAAATTTCACGAGTTGCTAAACTAATAAATTCCTTTGCACAATAACAACAAAGTGGATAACAAAAGTTTTAGAAATATATTTGAATAATTACATGTCAGAAGATTATCCTAGTAATTGATCTTATCTTCGTCTATTCAGCTTTACTTGTGTCTTGCAAAATTATAAAACTGTGAAGAAAACAAAAGTCTACAATCTATAACCTGTATATGCTCCTTGTATATGTTCCTAGAAAAAATGAGAATTATTAAAGTAGCTCATTCAGAGGGATTAAAATTATCATCAAATTAAGAAAATTGATGATACTGAATAGTTAGCTTATAAAGTTTTCCATGTTTGCTTCTGCATTCTTTAAATCTCTCGAACGTCATAGACGATAATTAATAATATTGATAATTAATACATTATTACATTAGAAGACACTGATAATAGTTCTCGTACTTTTCCTCAAACTATTAAATGTTACTATAATATTATAGACAATTTAAGTTAATTTATCCATTTTCCTAATATACAGTGGTTCCTGTATACTTTCCCTTACGCATTCTCTAAACCTCTGCTATCATAGCCGCTTATCGTAACACTTACCTACCTAATCCCCCAACTTTCATCGCTAAATTCTCGAACTTTCTCACTCGTATCCCCCAATCTCAAACTTGCTAACACTACAACCAACTTACCAACCAATTTCTCTGGGCAATCTGCCATAGTCGCTTTCTACCACACACCTCGTCATTGTCCTTCTATATCGAACCAAGTGGGCAGTATCCCATTCAAGCCTTACGGCACGATTCGTCCCCGATCACAGCCGCGACACGATACCCACGACCATCCGTTTCCAGGCAAATAACAAATTGTACGGCGGGGAAAAGCGGCGACCAGGTTTCGGAGAGTCTATTTCGTGTCCCAGTAAGGCCAGGTCGATTAGTGGCGGCGATAAGACGAGCCCCTTATTAGGAGAAACTCGTAGAGATGTTCTCGCTGAGCTGTTCTCATCCCCCTGACTCCACTTTGGTTCTCTTCTCTCCGTCCTCCGTTCTTGGACAGAACTTTTGTGTTCTTCCTCCCTTCGCTCTGTCTCTGTGTTCGTCTTGTTTCGATCGTTTCTCTTCCTCCCACGAGCGCTAAGACCGAATGAAAATGTATGAGAGCGATATCTATGGAACGGAGAAGAGGGCCAGAAGGGGAGCAGATGAGATACGATCCTGTTCTCCCTTTCTCTCTACCTTCTCGCGGTGCATCACGCGTATAATGCACACGTGTAGCAACTGCAGATGGCCGGGAACCAGCGAGAAAAAGGGAGAAGGGAGCACAACGAAATAGGCAGGAAGAGGATGGAGCGGAGAGGAAAAGATCACGAGGGAGGGAGACAGTTTTGTTTTCAACAGACTGTATGTACGGAGTACCGTGTACGTGTGTCCGAGGCTGAGGAAGCTACCTACGCCCTGAACCGAGCACGGCGCCGCGTCGTTTCTGCACCTGACCAGCTAACCGACGATAAATTTCTGCGCAAGAAAGAGCGCTGCCTTTAAAGGGCGCTGTCCAACCCTCATCGCACCACTACAATGTTGCTCACTGAAGATAGTCTCGCAGCGTTATGATCGAAGGTGGCGATGGGACAAGGGACGATTTGTTCTTGGGAACAGAGATTAATTCTTTGGTGATTTAGTTTTGGATTGTCAATAGTTTGACAAACGAAGACAATTAGAAGATTTTGACTTATTTTTAGGATTTTTATGAGAATCTACGTGATTCATATAAGTCTAGATATTTGCACAGATTCGGCTGATAAATTCGAAGAAATAAATTTAGGGCGTTTCAAAAATTTTAAGTACTCTGGCGACTAGAGAGAAGCAGCGATAGAAGATATCATAATTTAAGTAGTACTTTCGTGGAAGATATGTAGGTCAGGATAACATAAGGATCATGAAATAAGAATAGCTGTAATTACGAGCCGAGTAAGTCAACGTCGTACTATACAGACAACGGAAATGTTCAAAATACATTATGGAACGAAACAAAGAAAAGGCAGGAGACGGGACGGTGCGTTTTGCCAGCTGCCTGCTAGTGGATTCATCACTAAAGACTTCCTAACAGCTCCATATCTTAAACGTTAAGATAGTGAAGAGCCTACCTACATTAAGAGATATATTCGTATGAAAGAGATCATTAGTCAGAACTTTCAAGAATTTTGTATTTAATGTACGTTCCTTTAATTACGAATATGCAAGAATGACTTTACACGGTCACGTATAAATTAAAACTAATAATTATTATAAAGTGGCTATGTAAAGTATTTAAACATATTTTTATTTTCCGATAAAGCGTCTTTTTATGAAATTCTATATATCTTATTTCCATAGTATCACATTTTTGCGGTTACGTTGAAAAATTACCGTTTTCGAAAGTGGGTCCTAAGAATTAGTCCTAAAGAACTCGCAGACTGTTGCTCGATAAATATAAGAATCGTTAATAACATAAAAATAAAATATAACATAGAATGAATTTTTCGACTAGGATATTCACAAATTAACCAGAATCTTATCTACAAATAATATCTATAATTCTGTACATATCTCTTAGAAAATATCCACTGTTCAAATTTTCAAATTTGTTTTATAAAAGTAACCTCTAAACTTCTAACCTCTAAACATCATTTCTTTTCTCAAAGATTCACCATAGATTTTTCAGTGGCGCCGCGAAGAAAAACCGGGGATGTTCGAGACGGCCAAGCAAAATCACAGCCCGCGGCGCGCTAACGCGACGGCGTTATTAATCGCGCAATAAGTGGTGTAATCTAAACCATTACCGTGGCGTAATTATGCGCATAAATCGCGGTGCACTGGTAACGGTGCTAGCAAGCTATATAGCGAGCATGGACACACATGCGCGCGCATCCAACGCGCCATAATAGCTTGCAATGATGTTACCCGCCCTGGTTAGTTATTTATTTGACATTATTCATCGTAAAGTTAATTGGCTCTGGAAATCGCAAGAACGAATATAGAAAACAGGTATTATGAAAATTCTGCGGAAGGTCCGGTTAAACGCGTCTTGGTATGTAACAAGATAATAAACTAATGAATTATGACATATTGGGAGTAGAACTATGTACTTAGGTTAAGGTATATTTATTTTTAATATATAATAATTTAATTTAATATATTACAATGTGTCGTATTGATAATACAAGAATGGAAGGATTCTTCCTTTTTAAAATTAGAGTCAGATAATATAACGAAATTCGTTGGACATTTGTGTATTGGATATTTCGTGTTTACATGTAGTTTAGACAGAACATTGTTCGGTTTGTTGAGTAAATATCACTTTTACTCTCAATATTTCATATAAGTAAAATATTTTGTTAGAAATTTCTTCAAAAGCAAAACATTGGATCGTTTGGAAAGTTTGTAGTGAAATCGAAGAATAATTACAAGGCAGTGCGTTTATGTAAGGTTAGAATTTTATTGAATAATGTGCTGAATATTTATTTCGTTCACATTCTTTTGCTATTTATCGGCTAGATTCGCTAACTATTTTTATAAATATTCTTTATAGTTTGTAACACGATATTATTTCAAGTAGCTTTTGCAAATCTCTGTAAAACGTGTGGAGTTTGTAATCGTTTAAATAGTTTTATAAAAAGTGGAATAAATGATAATCAGACAATTCTCTCGTGAATTAAATAAATAAGATTGAACATTTCAATAGAGATTTACGAATCTTTTCTGGTTGTTCATAAGTAAGATCGAACGTTATTTCTTTCAAAAACTACTTTTTTTTTATCTATCAATTTTGCTCGATCTTGATCGATTGCTTGATCTATCTTTTTCTTCGGTTACTGCATTTAATTTCCAGCAATATGAGAACACCTTTTGCTCAATTCATCATTTCATTATTTAACGAAAATTCAAATATAACTCTTTCTGAATCCTACCAAATATACAGTAGAAATATATATCGATCAAAACACAATAATTTTTTTAAAAATGATATTAAAAATTGAATAATTTAATCACCACAGCGAAATGAACAATCCACAGACCTTTAAGCTCGTGAAGTAACGCATCGAATCCCTTTTGTAGAGGTGTTCTCGCTCTTCGGTCAGCTTCCTGAATTTATTCTGCGTGTTTGGCCTATCTATTAAGCATCTTGTAATGGCTCTATTCGTGAAGAGGTGATCGTTCGACGAAGGGAAATCAAGATAATAGAATGGAGAAGAAAGAAGGAAGTTACACGCGTTTCTAGCATAAGATCGTATCTGATTGGCCGAGAGATTCTGACCCGTCTATTAGTTGAATATATCACGGTCGCTTCTATAGCTATTAATGGGGATTCAATTTATCGGTTGGCAAAGGTTAATCCGCGATTCTTTCGTTGAAATATTCGCGACACCGGCGCCTCGTTAGGTGCAGCTTGGCGGATGAATAACGTTTCTTGATCGCGGCTAGATCGTCTCGATTAACGCCATGGAATTTTATTGTGTTGGAGGATGTGGGTAGACAGGATAGAAGTTTGGATATATAGTCAGTCGCAAAAGTCTATGATACACTCCTTAAATTTGGAATATAACAAAAACGCTAGACCTAGTAATATTTTGGTATCAAATTTTGTATTAGTCCTGTTACATTCTTTGAATCATTTTCAACTCAATCGCATTTTTTCCACTGCTAAAAAGTTTCCTAAGCTCGCAAATAAAGTGGAAGAATTCTTATTAATATGTACATTTTTATATCTCAATTTTATGTCATTGAAACGACAGTGAGATTGGCGTACAGGGCTATTTGAAATTAGATATATATTTAAAGATTAACGCAATTTATTATATATACTTGAAAAAAGAAGTAAAAAAAGTATAAAATAAAATTTCACAAAAGTGTACGTAAGCCTGTTATATCTCCATGAAATTATAAAAGAGCTGGATTTTAACATAATATGTAACATCTTATTAGACATTGATAGACTCAAATGTTTTATAATCTCTGCTGTAACTTCGTTCGAAGATTCCTGTGATTTAAATGTTTTAGATTTTGTGAATTCATTCTTAAAATACATTAACATAAATCATTCCGTACTGATATTTAAATGTGCAGGATTCCGTGACAAGTCGAATGTACGTAGACTTTTTTGACCGATCGTAAGCGA